GGAGTGGGTTTGCGCTTATTGTTCACCTGCCGAAGAGGTGCTACCTGATCAAGTGTGTCTGAGCAAACAGAATTAAAAATATTAACCGACTCCTCCACGCTAAACCGGGGTGCTAATAGGTCAATTTTTTTATCCTGCATAGAGTCCATAAAAAGTTTATTAAAATCCCCATGTATATTTTTAATCGACTGAGCCAGTCTCTTTGTAGTGCAGACTTTTTCGGATTGACACGGGGGAAGGACAGTAAATAAAATAGGATTGTGATCAGAGACCAGGAGTTCATCTATGATAATGTCACTGACTGATAAACCAAGTGACAGAATCAAATCCAGAGTGTGTCCGTGGATATGTGTGGGACCGTTAACATATTTGCTGGAGGCCAACAGAGTCAATGAGATTTAAAAAGTCTTTTGAAAGAGGATTTGTTGGACAACATACATGGATGTTAAAGTCACCCAGTATTAATATTTTGTCATATTTCACAACAATATCCGTTAAAAACACAGACATCTCTGACATAAAGTTCTTATTAGGTCCAGGTGGTCGGTAAACATTAGCACAAAGCATAGGAAATGACAGTTGCATTTCAAATACTTGGAGTTAAAAAAAAGCGCTTTATATTGAGCCTGTTACAGATAAAAGTATCCTTAAAAATAGAGGCCACACCGCCTCCCCTTCCCGTTTCTCGGGGGGTATTAAGAACTGCAAAATTGCTAGGTACCACCTCTCCAAAGACAGACATATCCCCGGCATTCAACCATGTTTCCGTAATGAATAAAAAATCTTCGTTTCGAGCTTTAATGAACTCGTTTAAAATAAAAGTCTTATTTCTCAAAGAACGAACGTTTATCAGCGCCAACCTGATTTCTGGTCTCACATCGTCCACTGAGATGCCATTTGGCTGCTGCAGGCCAAGTGGTACAAGGCGAAGATTCCGCAGATTAGCTCCCCTCCGGTAGGGACGCAGAGCAACCCACGGACGTGTCCTCACAGGCTCCGTTAGTCCGACGGGCCGCACCCACCGCGGCATCACTCCCCCCGAGCGCCGACACAGCACCCGGTCGCCACTCCACTCCCACAGAAACACATCGGCTGGACAGGGCACTCTCGGGAGAGAGATCAGGTACGCTTTAAGTTTCACCAACTTTCCTCCCCGCTTTCCCCGACGGCGCCGTTTCTTTTCCAGGGGAGGCCAGGGCTCACGTTTCAGCCAAGAGGGAATGATCAGCGGTGGCTTAATTCGCAATTCGGGGGTCGCAAATCACCTCTTCCAACCTCAAAATATTTCTCATATGAGCTTCGAATATTTAAAAGTGTATAACGATCATAGATCAGAGCGGAGGTAGATCATAATCATAAAAAACAAACAGGAGAGGACAGAGAGACGGCATGCCAGCACCGGTGCCATCTCGTCTCAGAATATTAACTCATTAACTCACTTTATTGGGAGTAATATTTTATATATATAATCTGTAATTTTACTCAAGTACTTGATTTGTGTACTTCATCTACCACTACACTGCAAAAAAAATGGATTAATGTAGTGACTATTGTGTATGACTGTTCATAGTAGTTACTTCATAGTTATTTTCTTGAACCTTAATTAGTAGATCATTAATAGTTATTCAGGAGGTATGACAGAATTCATATTAATTGACTAACTGTTACTTAACATAAAATTCTATTACATAATGATTAGTTAACATATCTTCCTTAGTAGTTAACAGTATTGACTTAAGTGTTTATGTAAGTAAAAAACAGTATTAAAGGGTAATTCCACTGGTGGAGACATGAATATATATATATATATATATATATATATATATATATATATATATATATAGTAGAATAGTATCATAAGTTTCTAATTTGGGTCCTTCTTGGCCGATAAAAGGCAGAAAACGACTTTTTAGTGCTTGTGAATTGTAGACAACAATCCCCACAGTGCATTGCAATGCTCAGCTCCGCAGGCCACTCCCACTACTCCGCCCATCAACGGTAGACTAGAGTTGAGCTCCACTCTACGCCACCACCTGGAAATCATTTCGCACAATGAAATCAGATAATGCGCGCTAATATAATATGACGCCATCAGCCAATGGACTGGCGTGATTCTATAGACGAATCCGGCGAAACTACCGGAAGTAAGCGGGCGCCATTACTGAGCTGTTGCTGGGTAGCGTTGCGCCATTGCCTCCTATTGTTTTAGTTGCAACTTGCGTCCACTGGAATAAACAGCTCGCGATTTACGACTGTCACTAACGTTACAACGTTAGCCCTTGTGTAATGTCGAGTGGGTAAACAGTTTCCGTTATAAATTGTTTCAATGGTGGCAGTAAAATTTCAATTTTGAAGAGAAAACATTGTGAATACCCCGGGTCGACTGTGTCGTACGGTTTACACAGATTTCCTGGGCGAGTACAAGACGCGGACATTCGCGTATAATAACAATTATTTAATGACATACGTAAAAAAATATAATAAATGTGTGATATAGTGATCAGCAAAATCTCCTCTCTTGTTATTTTTTCTATTCAATATGGTCATTAAATGGCTTTCCTGAGCTGAATGTAACGTTATGTGACACAATTGTTCTCCTGCTGTTATATTGACCTCTTTCCATGGTTTAAAAACAGTAGTTGGTCGATATTATGTATACTTTCTAGCTGTAACGTTACCTTACCCATGCCCGTTGCAATGTAAAAATTAGATAAATAATGCACACAAATGAAAAACATGAAATTGTTTATTTGATTTCATTTATTTATTGTTGCCAAACGGACAGATCTTTTTTTAGTTTCCTCGGTAGCAAACGTTAGCCTAGCTTGCTTGCCAAGCTATTTTCATAAATAATCTTTAAGATCGTTTGTACCTTCATCTGTGACTGGAGGCCAATGTCTAACATCATCAACCCAACAAGTCTGCCTGGCTCTAGCTGTCATTAAGGGTGCGTTATCACCTTATCTCCGAGGTTTGTTTACATACTGGTGCATATGTCTATGCCGGTGTAACAGCTCGGTAATGGCGTCGCCACAAGATGGCAGCCTACACAAGAACGCTCGTCGGATTCGTCTATACGGGCGTGATTCTGAAACGTAATTCTACACGTGAAATGCAGCCAAACCTTGGAGCGCAAAACATAGTAACGTTATTTCATAAAGTTCGGGATTGAACCGAACTACAAGGACATTCGCGGGCTTCATTGAACAGGTTTTGCGGCTTTGCTTGATGTAATAACGTTACTCTTGCTTTTTTAAAGTATGTGTTTTTACACATGTAATTAAATACATATTTTAAGAGTTATTAAGATTAATTAATAAGAAAAAAAGTAGATCGGATCATGAGCCATCTAAAGATTCCCATCCCTACTGTAGTACAATGATTTATTGCTTGTCTTTGTCGATTAATACAGAAGGTAAATAACTTTTTTTTTTAATCGCAATCGCAATATTGGTTAAAATAAATAAATAAATAAATAAAAATATCGCAATTAGATTATTTTCCAAAATCGTTCAGCCCTATTTCTAACAATGGAAATCTTAATGCAAATGGGTGAAGTGTCCCTTTAACGATAATTGAAAGAGTGAGTATAAAAGTTGTAATGATAAAAAAAATGCATTTTTTATTTAAAAAAAAATAAAAAATTTCATGTAAACTCTGGAGTTTCTTTTGTGAATTTGAACCCCCTCCCCCGACTGCATATTATTTCCAAGCGGCAACCTCCCCGTCTCTCTCTTGAAGCCAACACGGAAGTGAATTAAACTGCAATTTATCGAGTGGCCGCTTGAGGCAGGCTGCAGAAGCGAGTCAAATCTGTATCTCCCCCATGTTAAAATGCCCAACTTTACAGCAGAAAAAAACATGTTTACAGCCTGGAGCAAAAAGTGGCTTTGGTCTATAGAGCTCATTTTTCCCTTCATGACAACTGTGAGGGGGGTGAATTTTTTTACAACTCATCTGTTTAAATTATATTTAAGCCTTAAAGTTCTGCATAATTAAGGGCGTGGCCACTTGAGTGACAGGTGGATTCTTGCTGCCGCGTTCACTTCACTCTGTCGTTTGTCTGCTGTCTGTTAGCGTCACCCTCAGCTGTGTTTGTGCTTTACCGGGATTATTTCATACAGTTTAATACATGTATTATACCTTCGCCCGTGCACGCCGTTGGATTCCGTCATGTTGAGTATGGAGAGAACAACCAGCGCCGTGTTTCCAGCTGTTTCCCTCGCATGCACTAATGGATGTCTGATGATTTCAGCGCGTTCTCTCCGTCCATGCAATAGATGCACACCCTTGAATGAGCGCGGATTTCTAGTTCATTTACTTGAAGTTCTGAGGTAATATTTGGTTTGACCCATCTGAGAAACTGAGAGGCGGCCAAAATCAGATTGTAAAATGGACTGAATTAAAGCTCTTTACGAACTTGACGTGAGATGCCGACTGACATGTGCTTGCCTTGAATCACTGTCGCATGCACAAGCTTACATTTTAACTAGCAGAATAATAATGCATCACAATGCACATAGTTGACTGCTTGTATGCTGTGTGAGAAATGTGTGTGATCTGTATTAATGTACTTGTATATATGCTCTTAACTAATTGCCCCTTGTGAGATTAATAAAGTTGATAAAAAAAGTTAAGTAGTCTCACTTTTAGTTACGTCTTAACTATTATAATATTTCGAAGGGCAAAACATGAACTTTAACCATTGGCTTTACTTTTTCAATCAGCTGTCAATTCAGCGACAGTAGCATAGCATTAGCACCTCAGCTCCACCCGCGTCCCGCCTCTTTGCCCATTTTAATTTATCCGGTAGTGACGAGAGGTGACGCACTGCCAAGATGGCGACGGTCGGCCCCGCCCACTTTAGGCCTCAAAATCGCTCTTCAGAAACCTATGGGTGACGTCACGGACACTACGTCCATATTTTTTTACAGTCTATGATTATTTCATTGTTTTACACACAGTGGCCCTAATACGCCATTGTACATACGTCTGTTTAGGTGCAAGAATTTCAGATAGACTGTAAAGCACCCCTGGGAGAGCTCATAGATGTCAAGCTCCACTCCAAGCCGTTCATGGGTCTTCTTTACGACCAGTGGTTCTGCGATAAGATCACCATCAGCACGCCAGAAGGAGACAAGATTTTGTTTCCGTGCTACAACTGGCTGGACTGGAACGAGAGACTCGCTTTAAGACCAGCTAAAGGTAGGCACTCCCATTTCAAGTCATGGCAGCCCCCATTCACATTTACCGGAGTAATGGAAAGTTCAGTGGTGATGTCTTGCAAATATACTGCATGTGCGTACACACACACACACACACACGCTTTTGTATATTGCAGAGTGTCAGATGCTCAAATACAGTATAACTCCTGCACAGGGTCAGGACTAGAGATTACATGGCTATGATTGTTGGGCTGTCCCATATGAAAAAAAAACAGCATGGTTCATATACAGCAACCATACATCTTCCTTGCTTAAATTGGCCAGAATTACCTTACGTGTTTCATGTAAGACCAATACATGTCCTATAAAAAAATCAGACCAATTATGGCCCCTTTCATACTAAATAGCACACATACAACTTATAGGGGATTTTTGCGTCATATACGAATACTGTAAAAGTCTTATATGAGTTGAACATGACAAAAGTATGCAATGGTGTATGGTACTTGTAGAAAACACACAATATTCGTATACATTATTTAAAGTTCTTATATTGAATCATATGAATTTTAAATGACAAACATATATGCAATGGTATATGGTTTTATTAGAAAACAACTTAAAGTCATATACTAATCATTTAAAGTTCTCCTATTGAATCATATGCTAGTCAAATTAAAGTTATATAGGATTTATACACATTTTGTGTCATTTTTATACTCGTTATAAAAAGTGTTTCATACAGATTTCATGTTTAGATGACCAACATCACTTATATGAAGTTTGCAAATTTGGAAATTGTACAGTGTAGAATCCTGTTCATTGTAAAGTAAAAAAAGGGCAAAATTCAAACAGTGGGTTTAAAGTAACACCAGGTAACTTTTCAACCTTCATAATATATTTCCAAGTCTCTTGTGATGGTACATTGACTTACAATAGGTTGAATGACACGTCCGCCATAGCCCGACGGGGCCTGTAGCGTTTTTAATTGTACTTTTAAACTTCGGGTTTCGGGTAGTAACCCCGCGAACAAAGACAACTACAAAATTCGACTGCTGTACAGCACATACGTCACTTTCACCACCACTTCCTTAAAATCGGACGTGCGAGCCAAATTTTATATTCATGGGCGAAGCAGCACAGAAAAACAAGAAAGCAAAGGTTTTATCGGACGAAAGCAAAAAGAGAAACATGATCGTGTTAAAGGCAGAACGAGGTTTAACTTTGCTGATTCATTTATGGTAGCTTGATATTATAATATTGACGATATATGGTTATTATCTACCACTCAAACATTGCGTTGAAGTATCATATAGATTCAGTAAAACGGTAACCAACAGACTAGGCTACTATAATGACGTTGGCTTGTAAACGTGAGCATCGCGATCATTTGACGTTAGAAAACTAAACTAAAACCCATGAAATGATATTCATATGACATGCTGAAATATACGCCACTGTACCTGGGATGAAGACATTTCACACGCGACGCAAGCAGAACACCTGCATGTGACGTCCTCCGACAGTGTTCAGGGCTATCGTGGTAAATGCGCGTGCATGTGGGATAACAGAGTTTACGACAGCAGTAGAGGACAATACTGTTTCCCAACTGTAGGGGGACCCCGAGAACTAAAGTAACCTGGTGTTGCTTTAACAAACTATTTATTTTATTAACGAACAAGCCCCTTTACATCATAGGTTAACCTTTAAAATAAACAATGAATGCACAATATAGGCATTTCTGTCAAATGGTCTGTGATACTTCAAATCCTGAACATGTCAGTGAATGTAAGTCCAGTGTCAGTGAAGTTGATTCAGTACCTTCGACTCTGCAACAGTACAGCAGTGCTCGACTCAACAACATTCAGCAGATGAAGAACAGTTTAAGGGTACGAGCGGATCAGTTGCAGGGTACGAGCGGATCAGTTGTGTCGAGTGGCTAACAGTAGAGTTTCATAGAGCAGGAACGGCTGTGGAGATCCAACTTCCTCGAAAAATCCTGGAGTGCCGGTTCTCTGGACAACACCACACAAAACCAGATCGATCACAATTAATACAATTTGTGTTTTATAAATACAGCAAGTTTATGGTGGAAAAAGTTCAATCATCTTAGACTTTGAGTCACACAAGAAACTATTTTGGTTCGATTAAGACTAGAACGTACTCAAGAATTTTTTCAAGTAAATTAAAGACTTCATTCATTCAAAAATGTTAATTCTGTAATTATTCACCCACATGTTGTTTACATCTTGTGAAATGGTCTATATCTTTCTGGGCCTTGAAAGTGGTAGTTGCATAGACTTCCAGGTCAATGGAGGGCAGGAAGCTCTCAGATTTCATTAAAAATATCTTAATTTGTGTTGTGACGATAAAAGAAATTATTTCATGTTTGGAACAACATGAGGGCGAGTCATTAATGACAGAATTTCCATTTTAGGTGAACTAACCCTTTAAGAATAAATGTAGACACCCACCTTAAGAAATCTCCCTAGTAGTCAGCCGCCGGAAGAATCTGTGTTCCCTTCTTGTGGCTGTGATGTTGGACAGGCAGATATTTCCCAGTCAGTGGAGTCTAAAATTAAACAGCAAGAAAACATCTACCCGTCAAGTCATGAAAACAATTGGTTTGAAAACTAATTATAAGTAAAAAATAAAAATAACATTTGTAAATTTTTTTGACTGGACAAATTCAAAATGATTGTTATGAAACACAGAAAATCTTAGTTATATCAAATAGCAACAAAGCTATGATTTTTTTTTTTTATGTTTGTGTCCATGATTCTCTCTATGTTATCTGTTAAATCTTACCATCACCAAGTTCTAGTCTGTAACGTACAGTCTTTAAACACCAAGCCTGGTTAGCATTAGCCACTCGGTGCATCATAGAAATGCTCCTAGAAAACACAAAAAGCTAAATCAATAACGTCTCGGGTTATGACTATAACCCTTGTTCCCTGAGAAGGGAACGAGACACTGCGTCGATAAAATCGACTCTTTGGGGACGCTCCCTAAGCGTGCGCCTCTGAAGTATGAATGAAACTAATCCAATCCTGATTGGTGTTGCGTCGTGACGTAACATGTGACGGCATACCCGGAAGTATAAAAGTGACGCTGTCACAACACACACTAGCCTCGCGATGAAGCAAGACGCTCAAGGGTCTAAAAAGGGGCGTGGCAACACGACGCAGTGTCTCGTTCCCTTCTCAGGGAACAAGGGTTATAGTCATAACCCGAGACGTTCCCTATCGAGGGAACTCAACACTGCGTCGATAAAATCGACTCTTTGGGGAATGAGTACCCACTAGGCCACGCACCGAACAGACCCGCCCCAGAGTGAAACTGATTAGGCACTCAGCAAGGGCCGAGTACGTGTGCACCGGGCGTACTGGGAAGGTTGAGACTATAAAACCTGATGAAAGTATGTGGGGTAGCCCAGCCGGCTGCCTCACAAATCTCCTGCAGAGGTACTCCCGACTAGGGGTGCACGATATATCGAATCAATATCGTTATCGCGATATCACGTTGCTCGATATCCATATCGAAAGTGTCGCGATATTTATGCAATATTTTGTTTATGATGCGATCTGGTCCGACATGCACCGTTGCATTTCCCCCCGACTCATTTCCTGATTCTCCTTCTCCATAAACAATATTAAGTCAAGAGAGGTTTAACTTTTCATGCTACAGATTTCCCACAGTGGTCAGAAAGAACAGGGGAGACACTTTGTTTTTCTCAATATAAAGTCGCTACTCGCTCCAAAGCTAACCGCCGTAACTCTCTCACTTCTCCCTTGCTCTCCAACCACACAGTCCCACACACACACACTTGCCCCGGCTCGACGCGCACACCAGCGCACAAGTATAAACATCAGGCCACGGTCCACCTGGCAACTTCATGCGTTTTCACTGATCGGATAGCTATCTGATTTATCAAAATACGATCTTCAATTATCGCGCTATATGCAGATTTAATGGAGTGCACGTCACCGAAAGCAACAGTTATGAGCTGCATTTTATGATCATCAGGTAAAATAAGATCAGTTCGTTTATTTACTTTTAATGAAGATAAATGTGAAAAGCGTCTGCGACTTACTTTCACTTTGATTTGCGATAGTTTGCGCGTTGGCTTGATGAAAAGGAAATATTCAGCAGCTGCTCATTTGCGTGATGCGTGTTGCAGTCGCGCGCGTCGTCATATCTGGCAATAACATGACAAGCCTGCAACGTTCTCATTTTTAGCGTTTTTAGAAGGAGTACATTTTACATATGTGGTTTATTCAATAACGAGATTCATTTACATTTGTCCAGTTTCAACTGAAATGCGGCCCAGACCTCTTCCTGAAGTGGTTTGAGCGATTAGATTCAAATACGTCACGAATGCGTTTCACAGGGCATTACAGCTGGTCTTTTCACGATCATAGCTATCCGGTCAAAGAAAACGCATAGTGTCGTTTATGTTGCATAGTGTGTTCTGTAGACTTGTTATTTATTTATTATCTTTTACACTGTAGTGTACACAACTAACGTGTCCTGTTCTGTAGACATATTATTTAGGCCTATTTATTAATGCTGTACCAGTCCAATATGACTGTCAGTTGAAATAAATCTTATGTTGTAAGAAAACTTGTTTTATTTATTAATATTTTTGATGCGTTTTCCAATAACTTTTATAGTTTTACATCCGTTTAAAAATATCGAAATTAATATCGATATCGCAATATTCATTATCGATATCGCAATATCACATTTTTGTCAATATCGTGCACCCCTACTCCCGACAGAAGGGCCCTAGAGGAAGCCATGCCTCTAGTCGAGTGAGCCCTTAAGGCCAAAGGTGAAGGAACCCCGCGCACCTTGTAAGCCTCAGTAATAGCCTGGACAATCCAGTTACTTATAGTTTGTTTGGTCACCGGGAGCCCCCTCTTAGGTGACCCAAAGCATACTAACAACTGGTCAGATCTTCTCCAAGAAGCAGACTTTTCCAGGTATACACTCAAAGCTCTGACGGGGCAGAGCAAGTGAAGCCTCTCTTCTTCCGCC